TTGGTGCGCGTCGTTCCCGTGCCGATGCAGTTTGTCTCTGTTCGAAATCATTAGCGGGCAAATTAATTTTTCCCTCGTTCCCTTCGCTTAATTAACGCCTGTTCCGTGCTTACCGATCTTCTCTGCTGCAGCTGGCCATCCGATCCCGATAGCAATGTTGCAATAAAAGTACCACGTGACTTCCCGTTATCGACTGACAAAGGTATTTCAGTCCTGCGATTATTATTATATTCTCAGCCTTTTGTCAATCTTTTTTCTTTTTTTGTCTCCGGAACTATTTTCATGTTACACGCGACGTGTATTTATTGGTTGTTACGCAAGAGTGATGGTCCACTTCTTTTCAATGAATTATCACACGTCTTAAATATAAACGGTGTCTAAAAAAAAATTTATTAGCAGACACATATAAATTTATATAATATGTTGCAAGCAGAAAGTTGCAAAAGTAATTATAGACTTACAAAACGAAAGAAATGACATCATTTGGAGAAGGCCAAGTATTGTTCGGCCCAGTTGAAAAATATATGTTTCAAATTATTAATTTATTTTCATTACTCAGTTGCGGGTCTGTCTATTTCTCAATTTCTTCAAGTGGTTTTCTAGAGTCTGCTTTAACAGTTGAGAATATAAATCAGCTTCTACCTTATTCATACCCTGGCATGACAAAGAAATATCTTCTAATTTTGCCGAGATACTAAGATCTGGATGGAGTTTTAACAATTAATCCAGCTAATCCTTTTCCCTTATTAAATTTATGATTTATCCTCAAGTTTTCAGCTGAATTAAATTTTACAGGTTAACACTCGCCTGTAAATGCGAAACCACGTCTCAAAATTTTTTTTGATACGAATTTCAAGTTTTTTTTTATATAATAAAATTTCACGCATCCTAGCGAGGATGATCCTAGAGTTTTGTTCGAATAATCATTATTATATTTTTTAATAATATTTATTTAATAATATTAATAATATTTATAATTATATTCTTCATTAACGTAAGAGCCAAAATATCTCATTCAACGTTTACGTCCAATTTGACTTACCTCTGCGACATCCAACAATGTCCATCATTTGTTTATAATCCTCTATTGTTGGATTTTCCTTTATATTCAGTTACAAATATATCATACGTAAAGTTACATATTTTTTTATTCTATAATTCTCTAGACAAACATTATATACAATTTCACGATGGATCAGCTCTCCCCTGGAAAAAAAAACCGAGCCATATAGCTCTGCGAGTGATGACACACTCGTTCCTTTTGTAATTTCATTATGGAAAATGTCACCATAACCTCTAAATAGTCACCATATTAACATATTAAAAAATTTCGCAGAAGTTGTCGATTTTTGGCAAAATGTTTAAATAATAAGCAGAAAATTTCTCAGACTATTCAATTACACACTTGAATTACTTTACTTGAAGAAACGATCGACCTGCAGGATGATCTTTCAACGGTGATTCAGTTTGGCAGAAAAGGCGTTCGTTTCGTTTTCGAAAAATTAATAAGAAAGAGAGAAGCAGTAGGAAAGGAGACAAAAACGGGAAGCAGAATTCAGCGGTGAGCAACTAAAACGTCCGTCACGTACCTCGCCGTAGCGTCGTTCGTTATTAGCTGTTAATTATGGCCGGCACGTGACGCCGGAAGTCGCTTGATTGAACAGCCACCATTTCTTTCCCACGAGCCACTTGTCGCCATTCGCCATTTGCCATTCTACTCGAGCGTGGCTCGTTTTATCGTTCGTGGCATCGTACGTGAAGACAAATGCAAAGCTCGAGCAATTTAAGCGTCGAGAACGCCAGGCCAAATCGAACGTAAGGCCAGGCCAGGAGGGAGAATGCTGCTCGAGATGTGAAGAAAGGGTAAAGGGTAAAGAGAGAAAGCGAAGAACTCTGTCGTTTGGAGAGGAACTTGGGGGCGGGGAAACATTTTCGAAGTTTCCAAGTGAAGTTAGAATCTTCGACCAGTTCCCTTCGACTTTGTCAGTCGGGGGTTTATTCCCTGACGAGACGCCGAGTCGCGTCGCGGTCGCCAACTGTATCATTCCGTGCGGGGATTCGCGGCTTTCAGCGTGCTCGCTCACTTCAGCCCTTTTTCAATTCCCTGGGCGAATTTTATTTAACAAGATAATAAAAAGCAGAGTCCATCCACGCGCGGATGAATTTTCTATAATCACAGGGCTCATTTGTTCATTAGCTCTTTTAATAACGCAGAATCCTGTTTCTCCGGATTAACCATCTTTTTGGTCCATTTCTTTTTACTTAGTTCACTTAATTTCTTTCTATTTTTTTGTACGTTACCGACCAGTAATATTGGAGCTGGAAGGCGATCCGACATTTTGAAAACACGTGTCTCAAATTTGACGTCACACGAAAAACTGAAGAATCGGTGGAGTGCAGGCAAGCCGATTGTGATGCAGGTTTCATGAAACCTAGGAATCGATGCATGCATCGTCGCATATTTCTGTGTAAATTTATTATTTGTTTTGCCTTTCGAGTTATATTTGAATACACTCAAAAATGAGAAAACATGAGCCGCTAAATATGATCCAGTTAACCTCTTGCGCTGGCAACTGGTTTGCGGACCATAACGAGTGACCAAACCCCAAACCCAATACTTCGTCACTTTCTTTTTCAACTCGTTGGTACGATGTCACTGGATAGAAATTATTACTAAGAAGTAATAAATTTATTATTTGTTTTGC